AGGATTTTAGGGGTTTTGGAGGCTGACCCATCCCAAACAGTTCGAGAGATTGCAGAAAAGCTAGGCGTTGGCAAATCCACTGTTGCAGATGGTCTGAAACGCATTGGGAAGGTGAAAAAACTCGACAAGTGGGTGCCCCACAATTTGAGTGACCGGCAGAAATCGGCACGTCTCGAGGTTCCTTCTGCATTGCTTTTGCGCAGCAGAAACGACCTGTTTTTGGACCGAATTGTCACCTGTGATGAAAAATGGGTCATGTATGATAACAGGAGACGTTCCGGACAGTGGTTGGATTTCGACGAACCACCGAGGTAATTTTCAAAGCCGAACCCTCACGAAAAAAAGATTCTGGTCACGGTTTGGTGGTCATCGGCTGGTGTGATCCACTATAACTTTTTATCACCAGGCCAAACCATCACAGCAGAGTCCTACTGTGAAGAAATCGACGAAATGTACCGAAAATTGCGTCAGCCAGCACTTGTCAACAGAAAGGGTCCGATTCTTTTGCATGACAACGCCCGCCCACACGTTTCACAAATCACTATCCATAAATTGAACGAATTGGGGGTTGAAGTTCTACCTCAACCGCCATATTCTTCAGACCTTTCGCCAATCGACTATCACCTTTTCAAACATTTTCAGAACTCCCTTGCTGGAAAATACTTCATCAATCAGGACCAGGCAAAAAAGCCTTCGTGGATTCTCGACCACCCAGTTTTTTTTCTTTGATGGGATTTCTCGACTGCTGTCACATTGGCAAAAGTGTGCTGATTCGAATGGTGCTTATTTGGATTAAATCCGATGAGTGTTAAGAAAGTTATGATCGTTTAAAGTGAAACACTCGGAAACGTGCAGAACTTTCCGCACAACCTAATAGTAGCCACTATGCTTTATTCCGAATGAGGTGAGGGTGAGGAGATAAGATAAGAGCGTTATCGTTATGATAAGGATGAGTGGAAATTCCTACAGTGGAGCGCTCACCGGACGGTGGGGCGTTCCCTACGACCACGCCGGCGAGCGTTCCGCTGATTGCGTGTCGATGGAAAGCCGAGAAATTCCAGGAAATTATCATCATTGCCTCCTCGTCTCTGACACTGACTCTGCGCTCTAACACACCCCGCCGCGCCCTCTACTCACTCTTCCGTCCTGCACTCTCGCCGATCGATAATGGCTGACGCTGCCGATCAGCTGATTCCTGCCGCATTTTCTCCGAATTCCTGCCATATTCAGCTTGAAAAAGCTGAGATTTTTCGACTTTCGGCTTCAATCGTTGAAGGTGAGTATTCTTACTAAAACTGTATCACAATTTGCATGAATTTAGCTTGAAATTCCCCTAGAAAACATTTTTTTCCTTCTGATTTTCGCAATTCGTCCAAACTTTTCCTTATTGTCCCCACTTCTTTTATGTTATTGAACGGGTTTTCGAAGTAGTGTCTTAGATGTGATCTCGTTATTATCGAGAACCATCTCTGACTCTATTCTGAAGCTCGAAGTCGCCTGTGAAGAAAATGTGAAGAAGTGAAGAAAATCAGAAGGAAAAAATGTTTTCTAGGGGAATTTCAAGATAAAGGATAAAGGATAAAGTCTTCGCCGTTGATCAATCCCTTTGTGGGATGCGGCACGCATTCTACTTCCATTCAGAATCGTAGTGGTTATTGAATGGCCTATACAATGACTTGCGGTGGCCAGCCGATGTACAAGTCAGTGTTTTATCCTCCCAGACGAAGGTACCAATTCACCGTCCCCGGAGGGTAGAAGGCTTGGTTGGCCTGGGCGGGAGTCGACCCGGGATTCGAACCCGGGACCGCGCGAATGGTGAGCGCCCCACTTGTCACTACACCATCTCCGCCTCAATTTCAAGATAAGCCCATGCAAATTGTGATACAATTTCAGTAAGAATACTCACCTTCAACGATTGAAGCCGAAAGTCGAAAAATCTCAGCTTTTCAAGCTGAATGTAGAAAAAATACTGCGAAAGTGCCGCAAAATCAGCTGCTGGAGCAATTATCGATCGGCGAGAGTCCAGAACGGGAGAGTGGGTAGATTGTGCGGCGGCGTGCGTTAGAGCGCAGAGTCAGTGTCAGAGACGAAGGGGCAAGGTTATTGGGGCGACGGTAAACAGCACAATCGCACTTCAGCATCCTGCTTTGTGAGCGGCGGTCGCGGCGCGGTTTCGGCACTAGGGCATCGTAGTCAACAGTCATCACCACCGAGTAACATCGTTGCCTACTATGAACTCATCATGGGAATATCACCACACTATACTCACAAAAGCATCGAATCTTGAAAAACGTTGATGATGTGGCGTTTCCCACTTAATTTCCGTTGAACTATAGGAAAAGTCCCGTAAGGAGGAACAAACGCCTTCTCATCATGTTTAGGCACCTCGTCCATCAACGTGGGGACATTTCTCTCTAAGGTCTACCTGCTTCCTTAACTTAAAGCATTCTGCGTTCAAAACAGCCTCTTCAAGATCTGCAGGGAGCAGTTGGAGGCAGCTCCTGCACACTTCATCAATGGCAATTCAACTAATTGGGCATATTCATTTTGCGAATGCTGCGGGCATTTTGTAGATATATACAGTGCGCCTCTAGCAATGCGAGGCATAGGGCACCTTTATACGGAACCATTCTGACGAAGTACTCTATCTGGGAAACTTTATGCCTTGAACTTTCAATGGGTTGGTTCAGATAATTCCCGGTTGACTCAGTGGAGCCGTTCTGGTGAAGCATTTTGGCCAGCTTTTGGATTTGACCCCATCAAGTTGGTTGATTATGGTGAGACTTTCCACATTCCTTACAGTGATTGACATCTGAAAAATGATTACACACACTGGGATCAAAAGGGTTCACTCCGCTCTTGAATGGGTGATCTCAATGAAGTGTACATTATAATAGCCAGCAAGCCATTTTAGGCATTTCGAATTGAAACATTTAATTGCCTCTAAAATTCGTCAGGTGCGCGCCTGATTTCCGATTGTGCAAAATAGTGGTCGCCTCATTTCCGAAATACGAGCGCTTTCATACTTCGTGGTTGTGCGATCGTATGAGCGCGCGCTCCCTCTTCAGGGTAATCGCGCCGGGACCGCGGGTCGGATGCTCAAGTGCGATTGTGCCGTTTACCTTACATCAGGTTATTGCGGCATTCGGTCAACAGGCAAATATCGGGCCGCTAGCCAGCGTGGCCTTAGGACCACCCCACCGTCCGCTGAGAACTGCATTGTACGAACGCGCCGATGTTATTTATAAATACCACCAATCACGCCGTGCAATTGCGTACTCGCTGTCTGCTACCGTAATACCCGCCTAAAGCGAATTCACAGCTGCGGCTGCTGCGCCAACTGTAACTTGCGATCCGCAACCTTGGCTCATGTCTCTTTTAAGAGGAGGAACTATGCATCGCAAGCCCTTAGGATCCTACAAATGCAAAATCACTCGTATGGTATGACCCGCTACAGAAAGAACTGTTCATAGGGCCTCGGTCCTTACGCGAGGAATTTTCGGTAAAAGTGAATTTTTGATTTTTCATGGACATGGGTTGGTTCGAACATAACTTACCATTGAACCACAGAACCAGACGAACTTGAAAAATAGAAATTTTCCTCTTCCTAATGATATGTATTTTGGGCCTACTATACAAAAATCACTCGACGCGGATTTGATCCGAGGGTTTACTATAGCTGCAACAAGAAAGTCTCTCGATTACATAAGCCACACTTCTATCCAGAAACCGCTTAATATGAATAAAACTTGAAGCACAGGAGCGCTGTCAAACCGTTCTATGTAACGCGCGACTTGTATTCATCTTCAGTCCAGATCGCAGAGACATAGAAATATGAACTTGTGGACGAGCTTCAGGGAGGACAACCCTATCGTACAACTAATGGTTCCCTTATCATACTCAGACTAACTTCACTTTCTGCTGTGTGGTGGTTTCATTTACACTACATCAATTTATCATGAATTTGCAGCCAGACTGAATACGGCACTCCACGGCGAGACACAAAAACAGTGCTTCACTTATTTGCCACAGCTTTGCGCAGTAGTGACACCTGCACTTACGACCCCATCCCCTCTACTACCTGCATTATGCGACCCCTTTGTCGCGATTTCCGCGAAGCACCACTGGCCCAGTTCCCCCCCCCCTTTAGTCATGTTTGCACTCGCTTGGCATTTTGACCAGGAAACAACACTATTAAGCACTCTATAACAACCATGAGTATCGGTTTGACTTGAGGAGCGCATCCTTTACTAGCAAAGGGTCTGAAGTAAAAGCGCCAATGATTAAACCAATTAAAAAAACTTATGATACAAAATCGAATATTCATTATCCCCTTCGGCACAATCACAGCCATTTTCTTTGCCTTTGCTTAATTACAATTGGCGAAGTAACCACAGCACGAATATGGACTAGACGTGGCTACGGTAGCAGCAGAGAGTACGCAATTGCACGGCGTGATTGGTGGTATTTATAAATAACATCGAACGGCCTTCTCTGCATTGCGGGCACGCGCAACTCAGATCAGCATGGGGTCCTGTTGAGACTTGGGTCGTTTTTTTTTGCATCTTTTCTCCAATAATAACTTACCTAGCACTTTGCCGTTCAATTTGAGCTCGCTAGGCCTACAATCTGTGGCGGCGTGCTATTGCCTTTAATGAGGCACAGCAACTTTGCTGAAGCTCAACTGTAGCGAAAATTCGTCCGTTGCGGATTTCTCTCCAAAAGTACTTCTGTATGAAGATCCCCTATAATGCCCGCATTATCATCAGTAGGCCTTCACCATACCTCCTCCTCATATGCTGACTAGGAACTGTAGACAGAATCGCTAATCGACTTCTCAGTGGAATGCGCCATGTACCCAACTTCCTTTCCAAACGCATTAGACTTCCTGCAAGCTACGTCGCTGCTGTGTTCGTACTGACCTCTGGAAATGTGAACCCTTTTCCGAAAGAAGTCGGATACGAGCCTCATCAAAGAAAGACACATCTGTGGGTTTATACATGCAGCTGATTACGAACGATCATTTAGACGTGCCATCGCTCCCAGTGAGCGAGGTGAATTAAGCCCCATCTTGAACTTTTGCGTATGGTAATGGTCCTATTGCAAAGCCATTTAGCGCAGATGGACAGGACACTTTCAATCGCGCAAGCTTCCTCCTCCCTTTTTCGTCCTCCTCCTTTTTCATTTCTTCATTCTCCTTCAACTGCTGGGCCAGTACATCCGATGAGAAAGTTCCTCTCCACTACCATAGCTAAAACATGTCTGGTTGACAGAAACCCTGCTGTCATCCAGACATGTTCTAGCCTGGCGACTAGTGGCTGGAAGTATAGTGTAGCCAAACAGATAGCAGGACACCGCTTTGCCATAGCATCGAAATGTGCAAGAAGCATGTGGCAAGCCTGTACATCGCTTTTTGAAGACGAAGGATCTCCCGGCTGGTGCGACCATCCGCAGCTGGTGCTTGAACCCAGGGAACGAGACGCAGGGGAACGTGATTAGTTGTTCCGACTCAATCGCGCTCGGTGCTCACACGTCATTCCTTACCCTTTAAAGTTACGTATACTTGAGTTTCAAAGTAACACATCTTCATTAGTTTCCTTTTGTGAAATGTTTCCTGAGGACAAGCGCTGATTTATCCTGTATTTCATTAAAAACTGCGTATTGCTATGGTTTTCATGGGGGTTTCCCAGTCTCCGCACTTTTCATTTAGGGAAGGGAAGAAAACCAATTACTTCCAAGAACTTTTCTTTTCACTTCACTTCAGATCCACTGAACTTTCCTTCAGTGGATCTGTTTCCATTTTAATGCCTCCTTATTGTGGTGGTCAGCATACTTCCTTAGAAACAGCTCAACCTTTTTCTCACTGTGTCATGATGCTCATTTGGTACAGTGCTATCCACTATAGTTCATTGTTGCAAAGCGCTGAAGTGTAGATGTACATGGTGTCTGTACCATGACAGCATCCCCGTAGTTCGATAACTCCGTAATAATATGATGTGTCCACGGTTTGTAGTCACTGTTTCAGAGGCAAATTGCGACATGAGTGAGTTCGATACGGTAAGCTGACTATGGCTCCTTTCTTTTTTTTTTTGCTAGAAAGATAAAGGACTGTATTTGTGCCTTGCAGGACCCTACTTCCTTGTACAGCGTGAAAGGTATCGTAATTCTGGATCAAGATGGAAACAGAGTGATTGCAAAGGTGTGTTGTTTTGTAACAGGAATTTGTAAGAAGCTTATATTGCTTCTTCTTAATGTTTCTTTACAGTACTTCGATAAGACAACGTTTGGAACTACGAAGGAACAGAAAGCATTTGAGAAAAGCCTCTTCCAGAAAACGTCTAGAAATTCCTCATGTGAGATTTTCTAGCATATTATCAACGTCCATGTGCGTATGTTTTCACTACTTCTGATTTTTTTCCGCTGTCTGTGCACATTTGCATCGCTTTGCGACATATCTTACACTTCGTGCTAAGAAAGCCTGAGCGCTTTCCACAGGCTAACAAGGGAGGTGTTTCAGGTCATGACGCGCTTTTTGGAAATGGTTTGTTGCTTGTTGTAGGGGTCCATACAAGGGTCACAAAAATGGGTTTCATTTTTGCTATGCGTTTCTGGGTAGGTCAAAAACGGAGTGAAAAGAATTTGACAAGAATGGGCGGATTTAACAACCTTAATGGGCTCCTTTCTGCTTGTAACTTCGAGCATGCATAGTTTATGAGGTGGTCACTAATTAGGCCTCAAAATAGATTCGATTAAAGTCAAAATGTAAGTATCATGTGGTAACACACTTGGCATGCACCGACGCAAGAGTGATGTTTTTGTCAGCGCTCCCTTCATGACCATTGCTTGCGGATCAGATGGCGTAGCGGATAGCACGATGGGTTCTGTATGGCACGACAATGCGGGACTCGGTTCGGATCCTCATTGCGCGGAAAAAAAAGACAGAAGAATTTGCAACAGTTTTGCATCTGTATCAACGCAACGAGACGTGAACATTTCCGGAAACAAGGTTCTCCACACAACTGTGCTGGTTTGTAAGGTGTCATCCAGGAAAGGCCAACAGGACAACCTGGCCATTTGCAGTGAGTGCATATCATTGTACTCGTCTTGACACAATGAACTCGAAACTACCTTTAAAATTTGCGGAACGATTCTCTGAGCGGACTTATATAGGGTTTTCCTTCGCTGTTCGTCTTTACAAGCAGAAAGGAGCCCATTAAGGTTGTTAAAACCGCCCATTCTTGTCAAATTCTTTTCACTCCGTTTTGACCTACCCAGAAACGCATAGCAAAAATGAAACCCATTTTTGTGACCCTTGTATGGACCCCTACAACAAGCAACAAACCATTTCCAAAAAGCGCGTCATGACCTGAAACACCTCCCTTGTTAGATCACAACGCTCCCGGAGACCTATTTCAAAGGTCAGCATACTCTGAGAGATAGACGATCTCCAGCAAGGAGATTTTTCCCGGTCCGCTATTTGTAGGCCGCGTTCATAGCTTGCGACCATGAAGAAATGCAGAAATGCGGAAAATGCAGAAGTGCGGAAAGTGCAGAAGTGCGGAATCTGCAGAAAAGCAATAGATACGTATCGACTTGAAGAAATGCAGAAATGCCGAAGTGACGTGCGGAAAGTGCAGAAATGACGAAAAGCATTACATACGTATCGATTTGAAGAAATGCAGAAATGCCGAAAGTGAAGAAGTGCGGAATCTGCAGAAATGCCGACAGTGCGGAATGTGCAGAAATGCCGACAGTGCGGAATGTGCAGAAAAGCAACCGATACGTATCGATTTTCCACACTTCCGGCATTTCTGCAGATTCCGCACTTCTTCACTTTCGGCATTTCTGCATTTCTTCAAGTCGATAAGTATCCATTGCTTTTCTGCACATTCCGCACTGTCGGCATTTCTGCAGATTCCGCACTTCTTCACTTTCGGCATTTTCTGCATTTCTTCAAATCGATACGTATGTAATGCTTTTCGTCATTTCTGCACTTTCCGCACGTCTGCAGTTTCGGCATTTCTGCATTTCTTCAAGTCGATACGTATCTATTGCTTTTCTGCAGATTCCGCACTTCTGCACTCCGCACTTCTGCATTTTCCGCATTTCTGCATTTCTTCATGGTCGCAAGCTATGAACGCGGCCTGGGGTATGCCACCTTGGCCACATTGAAGTATCCAGAAATGAATCTGGTTGCTTGCCATGATTCTGCCTGCTATTCCATACACAATAAGCTTTTCACACGTGCGGGCAAGTTGCCAACCTGTTTGCTCCGCAGAGAACGTGTTGGCATGCTGTCGAAGTTGAGCCATAGAAAACATTCCGTCCAAATGAGGGCTCAGACAACTAGCGTGTACTGCTAAGCTTGGTCGTATGGCTGTCGTCTTCTCGCCGGCTTTGAATGCTGATAAAACGTAAAGAACTTTCCAGTATAATGGGTGCAGCATGGATACGGATGAAACCCACGTTGTCACGCCTGGTCGTTGGGTGGGGGGGAGTCCTGTTTGGTCGATGACGATTTCATCCGGTCTTAGCAGAAATTTCAAGAACCGTGAGATAATTTCTCAGTTGACGTTTCCCTATTTTTCCTGTCTCATGTGTGTTATACCCCCACTCCTGCTTGACGGTACGGCATTTTTCTTGGGAAATCGGAAAATTTTCTGGCAAAGCGAAAATAAGTTTTGGAAAGTTGTCGAAAACCTAGTGGAGGAAAACATTTCAGGGGTTTGTCTGCCTTCGCCATTTCTCCCATCCCGAAGTTTATTCTGCATGCAGTACTACCATGTCCAGATACGGGTCTATTAACTTCTTAAAGCAAAAGAACTTCCTGTCAGGTAATCAGACAGTATTCAACGCTAGATCCTCTAGCTCTTCCTTGTGCGTCTTCTACCTTGCGATCTTAAGAGCCGAAGTAATTCCACTAAGAAAGCTAAGCGTGATGATTTCAAGGCGAAGAAAATAGAAAATGCTGTTTGGCTGCTTGCGTGGTTTGAAGCCTTGTGTGTATTTTTCTCTCACACATTGTTCTAAAAGTTGAGAAAGAGGGAGTTCGGCGGAAAGGAACCTTCATAAGCAAATTCAATTTATCTGCGCCTTGTTTTCGGTGTAATTTATGAACCTACTAATGCATTAAAAGTACCAAATCCATTAAATTAGTTTTGATTGGACGCTTAATTGAAGGCGTGGCAGTTTTTTTGGGAGGGTGAATTTATTACATATAAGTTTTCACATTTCTCTTAGTTTCTTTGAAAAGTAGCAGAGGCGGAACCACGATTGGTTGTAACCACGCTCACATTTTGGAATGTACGCACAGAAGAACAATTAAGCTTGCTTGGGCAACTAAGCGTGAAAGGAAAATCAAGACATCCATGGCAAGCCAAAACTTGATTCTTTGGCAGTGTTGTTGTCCAGTGTACTGCAGAATCCAATAATGACGGCATACGTGGAGACAACTTGCTTCTATAGAAGGAGATGAGCCACAAAAATCGTTGCTGCTCACCCGAGATCGCCAGGAATTACTTGGAACCCACGAGAGCGCGTCTATGCTCTGCTACACTGGAGTATCGACAAAAGACAGAGAGCGGTGCTACACTGGGGAATCGGCAGAAAGATATCCATATTGATCTGGAGAATAGGAAAATATGTGAAGAAAAGAATAAATGCATACCGAATGCTTTGGCCCAACTGGTAATCCGTGACCAATTGATACATATCTGAATTTTTCACAGATTATCCGATCTCCGGTTTGATGCGTATAGTATGTTTTCGAGTATTCTTCTATTCCTGGCTATCGCAAGGTATTAAGACAACTCGAAATGAACGCTCCGATACTGAAGAAGTGTTTCTCTTGGTTGTTCGCACTCCTTTCTACAGCAATATATCACTTAATCGCCATGTTGATAATAATCTATAGTGATTCGGAATTTTGCTAGTTCCAAAGTAATCATTCCTTAACTCGTTTGCGGCAACATCCACCGCTCAGTGGTGGACGCCATATTGTCTTTTCGGACCGTAGTCGCGATAGGGACCATTTTCCAACTAAGTGACGTGGTAGCTATTGTGGATGATAAACATACAAACGGTTGCGAGTAGATTAAAATCTCATATTTCAGTGTTTTTTTTGGTCGGGGGGGGGGTTGCAACTTCTCGTCGACGTGTAATACCCATCAAGTGGAAACCTGTGAAGTCTTGTGAAGCCACGAAATGATACCTGACAAATTTTGTAAAGATTGTAAGATCACCTGTCAACTCTTACAAGGCCAATGAAATACAGATGTCATTTACGATGGTGGCTCACGACTTCGCACCAGCTCCACAAGTGTTTACAGGTACCGCCTGCGTGTGGGAGGGGAGGGACTCGTAAGCGGAACTGGTGAACTAGTGAAGCGTGGAAGTGCAAATTGCCCCCTCTCCTCCCGCCCCAATGACTGCGCCTGTTTTTCTGCCACTAATGGTTTATTTTCTTTTCATTGGCATATTTTCTGAGGGGGGGGGCAAGTCGAAGTTATAGCTGAGATAACAGAACTTCATATTACAATTACAATTTATTTCCACTACTCATCTGACATATACAGAGAAACATGCCATGCTATGAAACCATTCGGGGTAGTCGCGATGTTCTTCCATTCCTTCCAGCAAACAACTTCTATATTTAGCGGAAATTATTCTTCTCGATGGTGTGACCTGCATCTACCGATCAAATGTTGATCTCTATATGTACGTGCTTGGAAGTAGTCGTGAAAACGAACTTGTATTGGAGTCTCTACTCAACTGTCTCTTTGATGCTATTTCGACAGTTCTTCGAAAGAACGTTGAGAAGAAAGCTCTCATTGATGCCATGGACACGTGTATCTTAATAATAGATGAGATTTGCGACGAAGGGTAAGCTCATTGTTTCATTACTGCTCGATTTCTGCTTATATTCTGTTTCTGCTTCCTGCTCCTTTTTCCTTGGAAGCTTTCCAAGTGCCTTCTTTTTTGAAAGCTCCAATGTTTTAGAATTATCTTGGAGACGGACCCACAGTCAGTAGTGTCTCGCTGCGCTTTGAAGGCTGACGAAATCTCGTTCTCCGATCAAACATTTTCACAAGTCGGAATGTCTCTGATGAGCTCAGCCAAGGAGCAGTTCAAATGGTCTTTGTTGAAGTAGGTTAGTGGCGAGTACTGTTCTCGGCATATCGAAACAAAAGTTTTATTTGAACTTGAAATGCATGCTTAATGGTGGGAGATTTGTGTATTGGCTCGAGGAGAGTACTCGCTGCTTTCACTTGGCATCATTGTTTTTATTGCTTTTCGATACATGTGATATAATATCGTTTTTGTACCTAGTATGTTATGTGGTGTTTTCAATGTTAAGGGAGTAAACGACTGAATAAATTATTTATTATTGAATCATGTGTTTATATTTGCTGTTTTCTCAACTGACTACCTGATTAGACTCTTATTTCTTCGAATCTGGCAGTTGCTTTACAATGCAGCAGTAGCTATTTCCTCCTGTCAGAGCAACGTTTTTGGGTTTATTTGTTGAAAAGGCTAATCAAGCTCCCCATGAGAGCAATGGACGCTGTTCCGTCAATAGGGGAATTGGTGTGATAGTTTGTGCGGCACTAGGGTAATCCGTTATTTTACACCAGGGCGGCAGGAGTGCTCCAAAGCTGCTGAATGTTACTAGCTTTGTTTCTTCTTGTTTCTTCAATATTTCTAAAATATGTGTGATTTCAAGTGTTACTAGGTGCAAAGAGGCATAGGGGCACTTTTTGCGCCGTGTGACGCATTACAATTTCCTCGCAAAAATTAATTCACTCCACCCTAATCAACTCCCGCTGGGTGGACCTCTCATTTACGTCATATCTTACTGACTTTTTTTTTCTACTTCCTTGCACTTCTTACCACTTTTCCTGAAAAATCTGGAAAACTTTCAGCTTTTGCCATTTCTCCTCAGATGAGGACCGTCGTGTTACAAGCCGGGGTGGGCTAAATAGGCCCCCTCTCCCAGTGTGTACAGATTGCGGCGCCCTCCGCTGAGGTTTGGGATATGCGCTATAGCGTAACGAACGATATTCCGCAGTGTTATTATGGCACAAGCTGGTCTAGCCCTGGGATAGATTTGCGCTTCATTTTTAGTAGTGTCAGTGGATTACTCGGAACGAAAGTTACCATTGGAAAGTTTGACAAGACGCGACATAGTACGCTCAATGACAACATGAGCAGCGTGTATGAGACTATCAGCCCCCCAGATGTCGATGTGTCGTGGTCCCCCCGCCCAAACATGCCCGGGAATGGAGATACAGGGCCGTGAAACACGCTAATTCTTCCATGCTCGCTAACCCAACTGCCTTTTTACGTCGCAGTTCCCTTCCGATGCCGTTCATAACATTCCGTTTGCAAGCGCGCTGTCGCGGGGGGGGCGATGCGGGCTCCTTTGGCGACCTTCATGCCAACAAGTGCCTTTAATTGCGCTTTCAAACCACAAGTTAGAAGCGCAATTTTCCTGAATAGCGTATAACATTTGGGGTGCGTACAAAATAAGAGCGGAGAAATGGGATGACGGAGGGTCAGGAACCTTCAAAAGCCGATGCTGTGCCACTTCTGCAACATCCCTCGACAGGGAGGCCACGTATTTCCACGAAACATGAAAATAAAAACTAAAAACGGCATACTCGTTAGTTTAATACAAGCAAGACGCAATTTCCTGATGCGAATAAAATTTAAGGTGTTGCTCATGCTTCAAAATCCAAGGAGATGAGATGACACAGGAATAGGAAAGTGAAGCACAACGATGTCCGTGTAAATGTAACAAAACAAAACATGAAAAAATCAAAAGGAAGGCAAATTATTATAGATAAAGACTGGCTGGTAAATTCATATTTTCGATCCGGCGCCAAGCCATAGAAATGATAGAAACAAACGGCAAGTAGGACAGCTTTGGGTATTTTGTTTTCATGTTTTGTGGGACATGCGCCTCCGGGCAGCCTTGTATGGATTACTGCAGATTGCTCGGCCGAGTGTGTTCTTCCGCAGTTACGGGTGCCCCTTTGTTACCTCCATTTTCGTTTACTGCTCTTATTTTGTTGAGACACGCAAATACAATATTATAAACTGCCGTCAATTCCAGGAATTGCGTTTTCCTTGTATTTTGACAGAAGTCGCCAATGTTAAAAGACGACCTGGCAATTGTGCAAGGAGCGCCACAGCGACCTAGGCCGCGCTTGACAGGTAATTCTTTTACTACTTAATTCGGGCGGGTATTCGTGGATATCCTGCGCCGTGAAAAGGCAGGGGCGGTAGCATGGAAGAATTAGGCGTGTTTCACGGCCCTGCTATCATCCGATTCCGGCGGCTCATGTTTGGGGGGAGGGGACCACGGCACTACATCGACATGCTGTGGGGAACTGATAGTCTCATACCCTCAATGTGTATGAGCGTACTATGTGTCTTTAAATGAAGACCTGGGTAGATCGATAGAGTCTATAAGGTTATTTACAAATATAGCAAAACTGCAACCTGCATTTCACAAGCAACTTATGAGCAGGTAAAGTTTGTAATGGTGCAGTAGGGTGGAGGCTTGGTGGTGAGCTGTGAAGCATAAGCGAGGAATCGCATACGTCGAATCGAGTCGTGGTGGTTCAGTGGTAAGGTTCGACGTTCGACGACTCGATTCGACGTATGCGATTCCTCGCTTATGCTTCACAGCTCACCACCCTCCACCCTACTGCACCATTACAAACTTTACCTGCTCATAAGTTGCTTGTGAAATGCAGGTTGCAGTTTTGCTATCTAGGTGCTAACGTAGTTGGGAGGGGCCACGCGGCTCGCGGCGAGTGATGACTCATCGGCTCTTCACTCATTGACATACTTGGAGCGTTAATCTAGCAGCAAAATTAGAATAAAACAAACAAGATTCACCGGAACTTGCTGAGAAATCCCACAGAAGCTGAAAACAACAAATGTTTGATCTTTTATAGTCAAGAATCAACAAAAAGGCAACAATCGTTTGTATTTTAGGCAAAATCTTCCAGCCTACAACTGTTTCTTCGCACTTTTCAGCCTTAACTGTTTTAGCTTTTGAATATAGCTAGGACGGTGTTATATGTCCTAAACATGAAATTACTTCTTTTTGCCGAGGAGAAAGCAGAAGAGTCGATGAGTCATCACTCGCCGCGAGCCGCGTGGCCCTCCCAACTACGTTAGCAGCGCTATCTATATTTGCAAATAACCTTATAGACTACCCATCTACCCAAGTCTCCGTTCAAAGTTCCACGGTAAGCTGGCGGACTTCCTTGGTGAGCCTGGGAGAGCAGCTCTGCGGGATGTCTCGATTCACGCAACCATTGTTTTCTTTGAATCGTATGTTCATTCTGAATGAGCCACACGAATTACGTGACAAACTGGCTTTCAGTTCCAGCGTGGAGACGACCCACACTTGTTCCTTACCAGCGCATTAATGGTCCCTAGCTCTCCTGTGACTCGTCATTCTTTTCCAGAGCTTTTCCAGTAGTACATGTTTCCTGGCTTCGTAGCAGCCACTCGTATAAGTGATTGATCCCTTCGAAAAATTTCGGCACTGAGTTAATACGTAGGTAGTTCAAGCTTATGTTACGATTTTTACCTGATCTCTATAATATTTTGTCAAATGCTCTTTTTGGTCGCAAATTATGAATTAAGGTTGTGTTCACACCTTCCGACTCAGCGTTTATACCTTGCGAAAGCGTTAACTCTCCACTTCTCTCGTTCGTCATTTCTTCTCTGACGCAAGGTTACCCAGCCTAGGAGACCGTGTACGGAGATCGCGCCATAGAGAAATAGCCTAATGGCTAGTTCATTTGACACTACTGTAGTTCTATGTTGAATCAGTTGGTGTGAATGGATATAAAAGGCATCAAAAGAAAACTGAGGAAGGCCTGGGGATTACCGCGTTTCGCGGGGTACAATGAACCCTAGAATGCGCAAATCTGGGTTCATGTTCGCTCCAATGTAAAAAGTACAGGCCATACTCTAGCATTCTCTGCAGTAGCTTGCATCCCACCATGCAGAACACATCAGAAGCAGTAAACAGAATCGACTCAGGACGCAAGTTTCAAGTTTTTTCAGAATGCCTCGGGTACGCCCCAAGCGTGTTGGCAGCTCATCAGCGGTTGATATCTCACCAAGGAAGTTACGAAGGAGTGTGAGTGATCTAGGCTTGCTTCCGCTTCAGAACTCATTTTATTTTGTTTCAGAAGGAAATTGAGGATCTCGTTGGGGTTGGGGAAGGCACTGCTCCATTCGATACTGAGGAAAGGAAGTTTTCCTTACAAGACATGAGGTACGCGCAAATCTAGGCCGCACTACACTCGCGTTTGATTTATTCACAGTTTTTGTTCGTCGACCTCTAAGGTATCTTTGTTCCTCGAGCTCTGAGTTATAACTGTTCGATGTGGAGAGAGAGCCATGAGAGTCCGAGCATGTAGAAACGCGGAGTTGCTCGGATATGTATCACAATATACGCGATTCTTCTCACTTATACTTTCTTGTGAAGCGGAGGTGGTATGGATGCAAGTAGCCGCTTAACACGCTCGCGAATTGGAGTTGCAATTCTGAATAGGCTCTCGCCCAAACCTAGCAAGCCTTCTATCCTCCTAGTTCGGTAAACTGGTACGAGATCAGTCTGGGAGGACAAGAACAATTACTTTTACATTTTCAGGCTACCGCGAAGTCATTGTATAGGCCACATCGCATTCAGTAAGCCACTACGATTCTGAATGGAAGTAGAATGCGTGCCGCATCCCAAAAGGGACTTGATTAAAAGCAAAAACTTTATCCTTTATCCTTCTGCCTTGTGCACTGCAGCTGCAGGACAAGATTGAGATCGCGTTCATACTTTGCGAGTCAAGAGTATCAGCGGAGGCGGAAGAGTGCGCACTAGATAGTGGGAATCGGTTGGCAGAATAGTGAATTAGAAAGATACGCAAATTGGGCAAAAACGGGTTCATTCTTTTTGCAGATCCTGCACATTGCAGGATCTTCCTTTTTTTACGAAGAATCTATGACCTTACGCAGCTGCAGAGAGGAAAGGAGAGAACCTAAAGGTTGTGAGCGAAATTTCATTCTCTCCTCTAAGCTATTCGTACGTCCATGTAAGAATGTAACACCAGAGTGGGATACCTGCAGGGCAGGAAGAGTGGTTGGTCAGGCAGTATCTGTTTCGTGGTTTTTGGATGTATGTATAAAACATGAACGCCGATTACAGGCGCATCTTGGCATAACGGTTAACCACGGTTCAGTCCTTGCCCATACCCCCACGCGCCTTCATTTTCTGTGGATTCGCCTAGCTGATACAGATTTTTTTTTGCGCGGCCAAAACACTGCTTGAGAATCACTCTCCCCTTCTCAGCCCTTTAACTCACTCATGGAGATACAGTTGATATCGTCGCAGTCAGTGAGGCGGTGTACGGAATAGAATGAGCTCACCCACGGTGTTTCTGTTACTGGCTGTTTTCATCCTGAACCGACCACTATTGGTGGAAAACGCAGCCGAGGATAAGCTGACTCCACGCTTCCTGACTCCACCCCAACTGCTTGAATTAATGCATAAAACTGAACTAATGTCCGATGCATAGCGTATGCCGATGGAATTCAGACTAGCGCCAAACGCCTTAAGATATGCGGCTTTCAAGTCCCACGTTTCACTTGGCTCTGAAACGAAGGGGTTGGGTTTCAGTCGCTGTCGCCGGTTATGCATTATCTTCAAATCAGTAGTGCCCTATACAACAGATATCTTCAACATTTCCAGGGATGCTCTTCCTGATGCAGAGCCATTCGATAAGGAAAACCACCCTGAAGAGACAGGTCCAAAATTTTCGTGAGTGTCTTTAATTTACTAAATTTTTTCCCATGGTTGCTCCGTAACAGAATGATTACAATCCAAATCAGTGACGAAACAGCTACGATCACCTTGTCCGGTGTTGAAAACTACTTTCTGCAAGGTAAAGCAGCGCAAATGAATCGGAGCCGTGGAAAGCGGACAAAAACGAAACCGATAGCACATCTAGCAGACACCAAGTAAGTTGCTTTGCTATCAACGTTGTACCAGTCGAGATAGTCCATCTGTTGCTAGCTTATGTGAAGAGGCGGAAGAGAGCGACGAGGAAGAAAAAGACAGTGACACGAAGTTCAGCCATTGCGATCTTGGACTTCTCCGAGATTATCTTACTGTATGTTCGGTTGCCTCTACACAGTTCTGATTAGCAAACGATTGTGTCTGTTTTCAGAAAGAAGATGCCAATTCTAAAAACAGAGAAAGATTCAAGAAAATAACAAAAGACTTCAAATGGTGGACATATTGTTTGGCTGGTGGATTCAACATACTGGTATGATTTCTAAATGTTTCGCCTTTGTATTGTGGCATTTGTATAGGTTCACATGTGGTCATTCTGCTAAAAAGATATATTGCGTTTCATATTAAGACCAATCTTCATTTACTTTCAGTTATATGGTGTAGGATCGAAGCGAGCGTTATTGGAAGAGTTCCGCAAGACACAACTAAAAGCTTTCCGTACTATCAGTGTGGACGGGTTCAAAGAAGACGTCACTGCGAAATCGATTCTCACTTACATTGTTGATTCTATGAAGCTCAAGGATTGTGAGGTGACCATTTTTATATCTAAAGAGTTCAGGTATTCATAGTGATTGGCTCGACAGTTATGCCAAAGTTACGGTAAAAGTGCTGAGATATGCCAAAAATCAGACCCCAGGCGGGACTGGAACCCTAACCACACGCTTCCCCGCAAACGCGCTATCCCTTACGCCACTAGGGCCACTGTTAAAATTTCAGCTCAATAGCTTTTCGCCACAGCCTTACAGCGCTCACATTGTATAGATGTGGATAGCGCACTCATCTTGAAGTGGGGGTTCAAGTCCCATCTGGGGTCTGATTTCTGCCCATAACTCGGCATGCTTGTGATGACTTTCGTAGCACAAACTGCGGCGTTAAACAGCTATTGAAATCAAAAAGTAATGGCAGCGTGTTTATAACGTAAAACAAACTTAACTGAAAGTAAGCGCTAGTTTGCTTAGGGAGGCAGTGGCTGCTCGACTCCAGAGAACAGACACATTTCACCAGGGAAGGGTGGTAGGTCGAAGTGGGAAGGATGGCAGGTCGAAGTGGCCGTATAAACAGAAATCTATACCGTCCGATGAGGCGGAGGTGGCGCAGTGGCAAGCGGCACGCTTACCACGTCCGGGGTCAAACACCGGATTGGCTCCCGCCCAGGTCCACCCAAGCCTACCATCCCCTGGGAAGGTCACTTAATACCAAATTCGTCCTGGGAGGATAAGAGCACTCCATCTTCTGGCCCCGCAAGTCATTGTAGAGGCCACACGTCGCATTCAGTGAGCCACTGCAATTCTAAATGGAAGTAGAATGCCTGTCACATCCCAGAAATGGATTGATCAGCGGCGATGACTTTACCTTTATACCGTCTGGGTTTCTTTGGAGGATGGCTACGAAGCCGCCTTCCATTTTGGCGGACCTTTTAAGACGAACTTCATACCTTTTTTCAGTGGGAACATACCTACTCAATCAATGCGATTTTCGGACAATTGTCAAAATGTAGCATAGCTCAACGGTAATGCGGTTGTCTTCATTTCATTTCTTGAGTTAATTTGTGATTTGTATTCATTTCTCACAATCCAGAGTAATTCATCTTGAGCATTCGTATGCCTCTTCATGAGAACCGCCTCTGTAACAACAGTAAGAGGTAATCCACAGCAGATCCTGAAGGCATTTGAGTCGCAGTCGAAAGACATATCATGCAGTATACTTTTCATTCTCAAGTGCATTCTGACCTGCCTATCTCTCTCTTGAAGATTTTATTTTATTCAGCGAGTAAAGGTTTCAAAATTTCTGCAGCAGAAACGACGTTCACTCATTGAATGGGCAAAACACATCGCATCCACTCTCGAACGCAATAAGCACAGCGGTCATAATCCTATTCGAACAATATGCGATGGCCCGCAATTTGAGGTAGGGCTTACTTTTTTCAATTACCGAAAACTCTTGTTGATTTGTGGCGCGTTGTGGCTACGAGTGACACAGCGGGCCTCCTTTTCCGAGCTAAGGGGCAGTTTTCGTTACTAAATTCACGATCTGAATATTGAAAGTCGTCCTATGCATAGTGTTCCAGTCCAGAAGTTTATCTTATTGCTGGAATCTTGGTTTTGCCTTGTAAACAAGCTGCGACACTCACTTTTCTATGTCCATTGTACGCAGGCTTTCTCCTCTGCAAGTTGCTTATAGAGCAAGGGGGCTGTGGCGGTCATGTGGAACCCGGGTATCGACTTCATACTCCGTCAACGCTATCTTCAAGGTACACTTGCGTCGGTACCAGAATACTATGGGCTATGGCTTGGCACCTGGCTGGACGTGCGGTGGGAGATGTCGTTCGGCGCGGCCGGATTGCCATTGGGGGCATCGGCAGTAATTGACACCCTCAGTCCGCTGATGCGATGCGTGTCGTGTACAGGACAACTCGTCACGTTGTTGATAAGTTGATCGGCTTGATCGAACCTACGCCTTGGCACTTGCGGCCAACATAGCGACGCCGATTGCCTGCGGAATCTCCTACGTAACCATTTTCAATCGTTTTTGAGGGCAATTTTTCGCCGCTCTTTTGACCCGACGATTTCTGTACAGGGTAGGTAGCTTAGAAGTGGTTATGATCGGAGATACTGTTGGCTGCCGATCTATCCTACTTCAAAACAGCTTCGCAGTGTGTATGAGTGTCTCTGTCACCGTAAGTCTTAGTTCAGCTTTTTCTCCAGGTTAGGAGTGTTATGCAGAAAAATTTGGTTATCATTGCTATTAAATATTTCTTCCTTATGCACACTCGGGCTATAGTTACAATGACCTTCCATGCTGGTTCCCTTTTTTTCTGCGAGTATAAACAAATTTGAGTATTTAGTTTTCCTTCCATTTGGCATGGGCTGTGTATTTATAGGAAGGCTGCAGTTTTGCATTCTCTGGAAATGGGGCGCATTTGTAAGGGCGAGTGGAGACATTTCAAAACATACTCGCAGGTTCGAAACACAATGTAGAGGTACATGAACTAGAGGAAACCAACGTATACTTCCGATTCACTTCGAGGTGCTGAAAGCAGCGTCCTTAGACGTCCTAAGGTTTTCTCACTCAATAGTATTACTAAATGTTTCTAAACTACTCAAATTCAAGTTTTTTTCTATTCGTTATGTCACTGTCATTGCTGATATACGCTAGATTTGATGTCTCCACTGGGCATAGCAAATGAGTAACGGCAGAGTCACACCTTCAGTACTCCCCTGTGGCAGTAATAAATGAGGGACATCATCCTTTGAAAAGGTCAGAATGCCAGTTGCAACTCGCAAATGTGTAAGTGTAAGAGGGTCATCAATCGAGGTAAAGTATAAAAAAGGCTGTAGCTCAGCAATTCTCAGGCTCATGGGACAGAGGTGAAATAAACTCCCTTGGCCTAGGTAAAAGGCTGTTTTTACGAAAATTTAAACGAGAAATGCAACCTACCATCCGATGTTAGCTAGCTTCACAGTGGTGAAGTTCTTCAAAAATGCATCGCTCGAGGGTTGGCACAATTTTTTGGAATCTTTTAAAAAAGGTTATTACCCCTTGGGCACGCTCATTTTGGGGATAGAGCTGTAGCCACATATACTGGTGACAAAAAATTTTGGCCAGCTGGGTGAAACAGTGAAGGGTAGACTGAAGTGTAGACAGCGCCTAGTATTTGTTCAGCAAATTTATGTCTACTAAAAACTTACTCGAAGTTACCATTCATTGTCTACTGAAAGCTGCTTTGAAGTAAGGTATATCAGAACTCAAAAGTGCTCCTGATATAACCACTTCTAAGTAGCTAAGCAGCATTAAGTAAGGGATGTCGAGGCGAAAGAGAGCAAAAAATCGTTCAAAAACGGACGAAAATGGTTGAGTAGGAGATTCGGACGCAATCGGTCGTCTATATTGGCGCACTGCCAACGTAGGTGGATCAAGACGTCAACCAAGACATTAATAAACGTGGACGAGTTGTCCGACCCACGAAACGCGTCGCATCGACAGGGTGGTGGGTGGCAATTACAGCCGATGCGCCCCAATGGCAATCCGGCCGCGCCGAACGACCGGCTCCCCATTAGCGGCACAAGGCGGAGCAACAGTTCGCCGAATCCAAGAGACGACCCTGTGCAAGGATC